GTGTGCTGGAAAGCAAGTTTTAAGTTTCAACGTTTCAACATGTTCGCCGCACAAACACCTCTGCCTCTATGCCTACTCTGCTTTATCATCATTACTTTCACAAGACTGTTAAACATTTCAAGCTGTTTGTCCACCTCGCTACATCACCATCTCACATGGTCTCTTCTGCGCTCTTCTGTGAGCGTAAATCCGTGAGCACAGCTAGTAAACAAGTCTTTTGTGTGTTATTCTCACTTGATGTAAATTACTTTTCATGGCTTCGTTTTGCTTGCACGTCTCGTATCTCGTTCTCAGTTTCGCTCTTCCATGTAATGTGTTATTATCTATTCAATAGTTTATGCAGGTATGATATGCGGGAGGCATGAAAAGCATGAGGCATGCAACGGTCCGTCCTCAGAAACAGAATTAGTCCCGATTATATAAAAGCAATTTGGTGATCGAGAGAATAGAGCTACTCCAGTGCTCATGGTGGAGCTCGCCCTTGAGGAGAATGAGCATCGAACCCAAAGTGTAAAGAAACGTCGTGGGAACATGGTATTCAACGAAAGCAGTGCGCGGGCGAGGACGGCGACTACATGTCTGCCACAAATCGATGCCACAAATCGAGAAGCAAAGAGGTTGGTGGAAAGCGCGCTGTCACTGTTGAGCAGCGCATGGGGCTGCAAGATGAAATCTCGGGGCAGGGTCTTTAGTGACAGCTACCGTGCAATGCCAGAAACCGTTCAAGCGGACGATGCACCAAAGGTGTAACCGACTTGCGGGACAAAGTGGCTACCAACGTCGCGGGCAAGCACGTGCGGAATACAAAGGATGAGGCAGGAGGCGGACGGTGTGGTGAAGAATGCGGACGTTGTCAGAGATGACAGCGCGGCAACGCAGTCTTCACGACATGGTTACGGTCAGAGCCACGGAAGAGATTAGGTTGGCGCCGTAGAAGCCCGTCCACCGTCCATTGGACTTGTCGAGGACATGATGCTTGTCGCGGACATGATTCTCTATGAGGTGCAGCATTAGAGGTGCAGCATTAGAGGTACGGCATTAGACGTGCAGCATTAGACGTGCAGCATTAGACGTGCAGCATTAGAGGGGCAGCATTAGAGGGGCAACGGTGGGAGTGGGAGTCGGCATTCGTGGAGGCGGCATTCGTGGATAGTGTGGTGATTCCTTCATATGACTCTCAGTCATTCCTCCCTCACGTCGTTGGCCAACGGCACCTCCCCTTTTGCTCAGTGGTCATCACAGATAGAAACCGTCATGCAGACGAGATCGCACTTGAGCAGGTTGCTGCTCGCGGGCAATACGGGATCGTTACAGTTAATTGTACCTTCAGAAGGTACAGTATACTGTACTTCGAGCAGGCATGTGGCATTCTCTTTGTTGACCATTCACAGCTGCTTATTTTGATTTAATTCATCCACTGATCCACTGTCGGAACCCTCGAGTCAATTCTTATTCACATGGGTTGGGGTAGGGGCAGCATCTCGCCAGTCTAAATCGGCTCTCGTCCTCTTGTGCTCTTGTTACGCAGCCGCTTTTCTGCCCCTTCTTCCGCCCCTTCTTCCGCCCCTTCTTCCGCCCCTTCTTCCGCCCCTTCTTCCGCCCCTTCTTCCGCCCCTTCTCTTCCGCCCCTTCTCTTCCGCAACACCTGCCGCCCCGCCCGGCTTGGCGTGCAGGAGCCTACCACCAACCCAACAAGCTCTTCCGTCTTGTCAACGGTCAACACACACTGTATTGCAGACAAAATCCTCATGTGAAGACGTGAAGACGCACGAAAGGCTCCTCGGATGCCGACCGATACCATGCATTCTTTCCTGTTGACGGTCATCCCCATCTGGCTCTTCTAGACCCCCGCTCCGGTGAAAGATTGCCTCTCTCGGGAAATCAAGATGGTCAAGGCGTGGAATCATACAATTCTATCACAGATCATAGGACAAGTCTTGGGCTGTTCGTACTCGCCGTGTCACTGAACGAGCTTCTGTCAATTGTCCCAACCTACCTCTGACCTCGGTCGTGCATGACGAGGAAGCCGCTATTGCAGCAGCCATCGCCGCCTCGCTTGCCGAGGCTGAAAATAACGACCAAAAGTCATCGGATAATGACTATTCCGACGATTGTGATTCTAGTGGTTCAAGTGACGAAATTTTAAGCACCGGTAGCATGGCCGGTGAAGGCACCACGTCCGCGGAACAGGCTTCATCCGGGTCGGAGGAGACGGCTACTCCGTCTGAGGGCTCCAGCGAGATCGGATCATTGAGTACGGACATCTCAACAAGGCTCGACGAAACCCGACGTGCCGTCTCGATGCCTGTCCCTATCCCATCCCACGCACAACACCCAAGCCCGTCGTCGATCGTCGATCGAATCTCTTACGCACTCCTACATCGAGCGCATGGACTCTCGTTTTCGCTCCAACACTAACCCCGCGCTGCTCGAAGCGCGTCGTCTTCGGCAAGAAAAAGATGTGGAGCTGGCACGCTCGCTCCAAGAAGATCGGAAACGCAACCTTGAGGAGCAGTCGCTCGCGGCTGCCAAGCGCGCGGCAGAGAAGACGCAGAAGCTGGTAGCGGTGGTACGACTGCCCGATGAGCTTCTGGAAGACTCGGTGGAGGCGTTGACAAGCGCGTTGCGTGTGGCCGGCGGCGCAAGGATTGCGCGTAGATTCAGCGGCAGGGGCAAACTCAGGAGCGTGGCCGATTCGTAGGGATGGGCGCAGGCGATGCAGGGGGGGACGGCGTCAGGAAGGAGAGAGCACAGCGACGGTTGGGGGGGATGAAGGGGTGCGGATGAAGGGGTGCGAGTGAAGGTAGGGAGAGATGCCAATGTGGAGGGCCGGGGGGCTGGATTAGGGTTTTGTAAGAGCAGGATGGATGATACAGTACAGATCTGTACTGTAGTGGGACGGAAAATGACGGGAGATGGTGGGACGGTGGGAGATGGTGGGACGGTGGGAGATGATGTTTTGCGGTTCTTTTTGCGCAGTTTCTAAATAAACAGAACGGCGTGGCGCAGTTTCTAAAATACACGGAACGCGGTTGCCCAGCTTCTAAATACCCTTCGAAGGGTAGACCCAATACTCTCTCAATAAAGTCGACCATTCAAGGGTAGACGAAACGGCGTTGCCCCATGGTGTCGTTTCAGGTTGAGGCTTTTGTGAGACAGGGGAAGTCTCGGGGAGAGGAGGCAGGGTGTCGTTTCAGGTTGAGGCTTTTGTGGGACAGGGGAGGTCTCGGCGAGAGGAGGCAGGGTGTCGTTTCAGGTTGAGGCTTTCGTGGGACAGGGGACTTCTCGGGGAGAGGAGGCAGGGTGAGCACGTGAAGCTTGTGGGGTGTTGTCACGAGTATGGACTTTGGTTCAAGTGCGTGTGAATAACGCAACCTCTCTCGGCTTTTTGCGCCTTGTTCGGTAGGAAAGGGAGTATGTGGACGTGTTTTTCTCCATGGTTTTCACCATGTTTTTCTCCATACTTTTCTCCATACTTTTCTCCATGTTTTTCCCCAGCAAAGCTTGATGGCATGGTGCAAGTCAGGAAATCAGTACTGAAGAGTCATCTTTCTCCAACTACAGCACCATGCAAGTGCAATGCCATTACCACAATACCATTTTAACTAAGACAACCGCCGCTCCCCTCACTTGGTACGTTTTTCTTTATGTCGTGAAGGTTCGAGTAGCCGAATTCTTTGTAGGGATATGCGTGAAGCTGCAGGGTGAGGCTTGAAAATAAGTAACCAACAATAATAGTGGGGACTGTTCTGCATACGAGCAACCAGTTTATCTCGCGAAATCAACCTTGCTGTACCTACGTTGTTTTTCACTTCACGATATCTTGGTTCACACACCCTATCGCATGACCAGGATATCAAGATCTTTGTGTATGTAGCGCACGAAAAAATGGTCTGGTTGATCGGAAGGCAGGGGAGCACGGATGGCGGGGACAATGGCGTTGCTGATTGAGAAAGTCAGGGTAGGTTGATAGTGGACTTTCACTTTTGAATAAGCCAATGCGCTGCGAGATGAGATCTCACCCCAGGGTCTTCAATGACAGCCAACGTGAAATGCCAGCGGCCAATACAGGGAAGTTGTAACCGGCGAGCGGGAAAAGGTGGCTATGAATCGGGCGTAGGCGTTTCCGGAATGCGAAGGGCATGCCGGATGATGCGGTGAAGAGTGCGGACGTTGTAGTTGATGTCTTTAGCAACGCGGGCTTGACGGCGTGCGGCGTGACAAGGGATGGGACTGCGAAAGGGAATGCCAGATGAGATGCTGCCCCCCATGTTCGATATTAAAAGGCACCGGGGGAGCGGGTAGGGCGACGGCAATTCAGCACCGGATGGAGAAGCTGTGATGTTGGTGGAAGCCGGATTTCACCGCCGAATAAGCCACGCGGCTGTGGAATGGGATGAGATGGGATGAGATGAGATGAGATGAGATGAGATGAGATGAGATGAGATGAGATGAGATGAGATGGGATGAGATGGGATGAGATGAAAGGATTGCTGCGTGACCTTTACTGGACAGCAATTGTAAGAGCAAATATGGATAGATAGATGGCGAGCGCAATGCCGCGGCAGACCGAGAAACCAAGCGGAAGTGGAAGCACGGTTTCACTGCTGAACAGGCCACGGTGCTGCGAGATGAGACTTTGCGGGAGGTTCTTCGATGTCAGCTATCGTTCAATGATAACAGGCCCCACGTTTATCTCTTCAGGACATGTTCTAAATGCTAGATATGCCAGGATTTTAAACACGCGTTTCGTGTCGACAGCACGAATACTGACAAACTTAACTATCTTTTGTCCTCGATTCAGAGCCGTGAGTGTTCGTGTCCGAGATTGCATCACAAAAGAACTGACACAAGCAAGTCAGTCTGCATTCGCCTGAATGCACACCAAATCCTCTGCTTATGATACTTTATCAAAAACGACGCGGGACAGCAGTATATAAGTCCCGTTGGAGTCCGTCTCGCATCTTTACCTTAACTATTCGACACGATGTACGGGGAGTTGTTTTTATGCTGAAATGCATCTCCTTGCATCCCTTCACAGCGTGCGCCCATTCCATCCGCCGCACGCTTCCATACTACTTTTTTTAGCAAGGAGCGTGCTGCACTTCATGATGACTAACTGAGACTGTTTACTCGTTTTGTTTGTTGGCGTAGGTTCAAGATGGGGCCCCTAGAAGACCATGGCGCGCCGTAGGCCCCAGTGCTATGCCTTGCCCTCGGATCGCAGTGCTGTTTTCGACCCGCGCACATCTCGGCCCGTTGTTGTGTTTGGGTTGAAAACGGCGCTGAACGAACAGTTGGGATGTTCGGGAGTGGCCCAGCAAGGCATGCACTGGATCGTCGCAGGACCACCGCATCAGCCTTCATGGCTGAGGACTGCGCTGGTCGCGTCTCTTCACGGCCCGTGGGACGGTCGTGGAGAGGTGTCGCATAGAAGGCTCAAGATCTCAAGAGACCAAGGCTAGGGGAAGATAGGTGCTCGGGTGCGTGGCTCGGCATGGGCGCATGCTGGGGGCGGACACCGGGCGGAACCGGGTCACCCATTGACAAATGTTGATGGGCAAGATCCGGGGGGTTGTCGTCGCTCACTACGGTGTGAGGCGTCAAGGGGGTCTTCGTTCACGACTGTTGGACGGGGGCAGGTGGGTCCTCACTCATGACGGTGGGTGAGACCTCGGTCGGGTCCTTTGCACATTGCGGTGTGCGGGGAAGGATGGCTCTCACTCGCGACGGTGGGTGGGAGCGGGATGTCTCTCTTTCACTGCGGTGGAAGGGGGAGCTCTCGTTCACGACGGTGGACGGGAGCACGACTATGCTCCTCGTTATTTTGGTGTTCAACTACTGTACCTGTTTTATGGTTGTTCATCAAAGTACAGGGGAGTGCCCCTCGCTCACGACGGTGGGTGGGGGGATGTGATGCCTTCATCGTTTTCTTGTTCATCCCGCGGTCTTATGGATGTTCAAGAAAACGTATGGCGGCATAAAACGTTTTTGTTTGTGACCTGTCCGTCCTGTCCGTCCTGTCCGTCTGCTCGTTACTTCTGGCTGCTGATAAATTCCTGGAGACTCTCAAGCTTTCATTACGATTCCTCTGCTCTCAATACTTTCTCATACTACTCGAGAAGAAGCGATGGGCAGATGAAAAAGGAGCGTAATACAAGCAGTAATTGAGGTTGTGCATTTAAGAGCTTGTATCCATGACGGACGACAAGTTTTAAGTTTCAACGTTTCAACATGTTCGCCGCACAAACACCTCTGCCTCTATGCCTACTCTGCTTTATCATCATTACTTTCACAAGACTGTTAAACATTTCAAGCTGTTTGTCCACCTCGCTACATCACCATCTCACATGGTCTCTTCTGCGCTCTTCTGTGAGCGTAAATCCGTGAGCACAGCTAGTAAACAAGTCTTTTGTGTGTTATTCTCACTTGATGTAAATTACTTTTCATGGCTTCGTTTTGCTTGCACGTCTCGTATCTCGTTCTCAGTTTCGCTCTTCCATGTAATGTGTTATTATCTATTCAATAGTTTATGCAGGTATGATATGCGGGAGGCATGAAAAGCATGAGGCATGCAACGGTCCGTCCTCAGAAACAGAATTAGTCCCGATTATATAAAAGCAATTTGGTGATCGAGAGAATAGAGCTACTCCAGTGCTCATGGTGGAGCTCGCCCTTGAGGAGAATGAGCATCGAACCCAAAGTGTAAAGAAACGTCGTGGGAACATGGTATTCAACGAAAGCAGTGCGCGGGCGAGGACGGCGACTACATGTCTGCCACAAATCGATGCCACAAATCGAGAAGCAAAGAGGTTGGTGGAAAGCGCGCTGTCACTGTTGAGCAGCGCATGGGGCTGCAAGATGAAATCTCGGGGCAGGGTCTTTAGTGACAGCTACCGTGCAATGCCAGAAACCGTTCAAGCGGACGATGCACCAAAGGTGTAACCGACTTGCGGGACAAAGTGGCTACCAACGTCGCGGGCAAGCACGTGCGGAATACAAAGGATGAGGCAGGAGGCGGACGGTGTGGTGAAGAATGCGGACGTTGTCAGAGATGACAGCGCGGCAACGCAGTCTTCACGACATGGTTACGGTCAGAGCCACGGAAGAGATTAGGTTGGCGCCGTAGAAGCCCGTCCACCGTCCATTGGACTTGTCGAGGACATGATGCTTGTCGCGGACATGATTCTCTATGAGGTGCAGCATTAGAGGTGCAGCATTAGAGGTACGGCATTAGACGTGCAGCATTAGACGTGCAGCATTAGACGTGCAGCATTAGAGGGGCAGCATTAGAGGGGCAACGGTGGGAGTGGGAGTCGGCATTCGTGGAGGCGGCATTCGTGGATAGTGTGGTGATTCCTTCATATGACTCTCAGTCATTCCTCCCTCACGTCGTTGGCCAACGGCACCTCCCCTTTTGCTCAGTGGTCATCACAGATAGAAACCGTCATGCAGACGAGATCGCACTTGAGCAGGTTGCTGCTCGCGGGCAATACGGGATCGTTACAGTTAATTGTACCTTCAGAAGGTACAGTATACTGTACTTCGAGCAGGCATGTGGCATTCTCTTTGTTGACCATTCACAGCTGCTTATTTTGATTTAATTCATCCACTGATCCACTGTCGGAACCCTCGAGTCAATTCTTATTCACATGGGTTGGGGTAGGGGCAGCATCTCGCCAGTCTAAATCGGCTCTCGTCCTCTTGTGCTCTTGTTACGCAGCCGCTTTTCCGCCCCTTCTTCCGCCCCTTCTTCCGCCCCTTCTTCCGCCCCTTCTTCCGCCCCTTCTTCCGCCCCTTCTTCCGCCCCTTCTCTTCCGCCCCTTCTCTTCCGCAACACCTGCCGCCCCGCCCGGCTTGGCGTGCAGGAGCCTTGCAGGAGCCTACCACCAACCCAACAAGCTCTTCCGTCTTGTCAACGGTCAACACACACTGTATTGCAGACAAAATCCTCATGTGCACGAAAGGCTCCTCGGATGCCGACCGATACCATGCATTCTTTCCTGTTGACGGTCATCCCCATCTGGCTCTTCTAGACCCCCGCTCCGGTGAAAGATTGCCTCTCTCGGGAAATCAAGATGGTCAAGGCGTGGAATCATACAATTCTATCACAGATCATAGGACAAGTCTTGGGCTGTTCGTACTCGCCGTGTCACTGAACGAGCTTCTGTCAATTGTCCCAACCTACCTCTGACCTCGGTCGTGCATGACGAGGAAGCCGCTATTGCAGCAGCCATCGCCGCCTCGCTTGCCGAGGCTGAAAATAACGACCAAAAGTCATCGGATAATGACTATTCCGACGATTGTGATTCTAGTGGTTCAAGTGACGAAATTTTAAGCACCGGTAGCATGGCCGGTGAAGGCACCACGTCCGCGGAACAGGCTTCATCCGGGTCGGAGGAGACGGCTACTCCGTCTGAGGGCTCCAGCGAGATCGGATCATTGAGTACGGACATCTCAACAAGGCTCGACGAAACCCGACGTGCCGTCTCGATGCCTGTCCCTATCCCATCCCACGCACAACACCCAAGCCCGTCGTCGATCGTCGATCGAATCTCTTACGCACTCCTACATCGAGCGCATGGACTCTCGTTTTCGCTCCAACACTAACCCCGCGCTGCTCGAAGCGCGTCGTCTTCGGCAAGAAAAAGATGTGGAGCTGGCACGCTCGCTCCAAGAAGATCGGAAACGCAACCTTGAGGAGCAGTCGCTCGCGGCTGCCAAGCGCGCGGCAGAGAAGACGCAGAAGCTGGTAGCGGTGGTACGACTGCCCGATGAGCT